CATCTTCCAGAATCTCTTTTCATCCCACGAAATGGGGGGGGGGGGGGCGATAGAAAGACAGAAAGTTGAAACTCCGCGCAGACGTACTTGGTGTATAGGTGAGTGAAGAAAAATTCCACTTTCGAAATATGTCCCCTCGGGGCGGTTTACAGAAGGGAAGTGTTTCAAGATTCATTTAAAAAAAAAGGACAAGTGAATATATTTGACGTTGGGCACACGAGAAATCATCGTAGCAATGAACCCCATTCCATCCGTCTGCATCTTCCGAAGCCCTTCGCGTTTCAGTGCAGGCCCCTTGCACGGAAGGAAAATCCGATGAAATTGAGCAAAAAATGACCTCAATGACCTCAAAAAATGATTAAAACGATGTTAGAAAATTATTTGCATAAGTGAAGTAGAATCATTAATTTATTTCGGGTTTCTCTTTCATCCGAATATAATGGATTCAAGAAGGACCTGAAATTAAATCCAGTCTCTCCATCAGTGAAAAGGAAAGGCTAAACGAATTTCAAGTCCCAAATGGGAATGAGTACTAGATGGGAACAAGGACCGGACGAATTTTCAAACGAGTTTTAAATTCGGAATTGGAATTCGAAAAAAGTCGACTTTAACTCCTGCGAAATCACCAGCGAAATGAAAGAAAAATAATGAGGACGAATGAAATTTCATTTTCTCATTTCACATAACTTTTTCCCAAAGTATGCAGTTGCAACTGAAATGTTCCTGGAATGGAGGAATTTCAAGCCACGTTGATAATCCCACAATAAAATTAGTTGGCCAAAGAGAACGAGACAAACGTATATATTAACTCTCAATGGACACATGGGATTCACATGCCTTGACACAGAGATTCCCCGCCGTTCAAGAGGAAAGGCGACAAAGAAAATCTGCTTCTCCTCGCATCTGCACAACAAGTACTGAAGCCAGGCATATAGGGGCAGTCATTCAAAACTTTGTACCCAAAATGTGCATTGACAGAGGTGCATTCACAACGTGCGTCCCCAAAGCACATTCATACTGAGAGCAACTGTCTGTTCCAGGCGACATGTTTCCAAGCGACATGTTTCCAGGTGCCATGTTTCCGGGTGCCATGTTCCCAGGTGACATGTTTTCAGGTGCCATGTTTCCGGGTGCCATGTTTTCAGGTGCCATGTTTTCAGGTGCCGTTTTCCCAGGTGACATGTTTCCAGGTGACACGTTTCTCAATTCCAAGTGCTGATCGTGGATGAGACCCAATCGGCGAAAGCGGAGGTCCTGGTGTAATAGAAGCGGCCGGTGCATTTGTCCTTCGTTGACACGGAGCCGGAGAGCAGCCCCGCCTCGTAGGCTTGGTCGCCGTAACGGACGACCAACGGGCCGCCGCTGTCGCCCTGTGCGATGCAGAGAGGTAAGAAATTTCCAGATGAGAGATGGCGAATGAGAAGCTCTGTCGACCGAGAGAGGCGTCTCTCGTGTTTTAAAGCTTAATAACAAAAATTATGTTCATGTGATTTGAAAATTCAGCAAGGTGTGTTCATGAATGGAATTTTTATGACTGGACAAGTCAACATTAATAAACGGTCTCCTTGACCTGAACATTTTCCGAGCATGTTATGAACCCTTGCCCCACGCATCCCTTTTGGGAATTCCCCCTTCTCTCATCGAAGCATCGCGTTCGTGAGGGTGACGACGGTCAAACCAGACCACGATGAACTAGCCTTGCGACCGCCTGTCACTTGGCTCGGCTTCCTGGCATTGGAGCTGGTCTGTCATTTCTGTGTCAAAATTACCCATTTTCTTTAATCAGAAATATCCATCCAAAAGCAGGGGAAAGAGCTTCTCGAAGCAAAGTTCGACTCTTAGATTTGAAAATGAGTGTAAGCATTTAAGAATTTATCTACTGGGCCGGGCAAAAGGCATTTTTCCTTTAAAAAAAAAACTCAGGAATTATGAGGCGATATTGGCTAAATCTGACAATATGGGGCTATACTGGCCAATTCTTGCAATATGGGGCAATATTTGGTCAATTTTGGCCAATTTGTCCATATGTTGTCCTACTCTGGCAATATTGAGCAATTGTGTCAATCAGCGAAACGTACGTTGCAGGGCCCGCTAGACGAGGGAGTTCCCCAGACGCACACGTGAATGCCATCCACGGCACTGCAATCCCTGGCAGCTCGATCAGACACGGTCACGTCCAGTTTCTGCAACGTTCGAGAGGTTCTCCTCTTCAAGTAGTCCTTGATGGAGAGGACGCCCCACCCGTAGGCCTTCTTGTCGCATGCGGCCGCGGCCGTCCCCAGGTCGTCCGACGTCGGGTAGCAGATCGGCTGGACGGTCGGACCGAACGCGAGGCTCGTCGGCAGGCGGATGAGGGCGATGTCGTACCCTTTCCGCAGGTTCGCTGCGGGGACGAGAATCCGGTCGGGTCGGGTTAGGTCCTCCTGCGGTCCGGTGAAAGTGTCCCTACCGACTAGAGGTCCTTCGGCTTCTTACGAGAGTGGAGTTAATGCTTCGGGGGAATGAGGCTCTAAAAGGTAAAATCTGGTTTTAACGGTCCATCGAGGTCGAACGAGACTGCACCAGTATTCATAAAATATTTATTTATGATGCCATTGCTCAATCCCATTGATACCATTGCAAATAAATGCATGTGGAAAGAACATTTGGATCCCTTAAAAATTGGTCCCAAGACACCACCACCCTTATTGTTATGGAGATACGACGGGAGGGGACAATACCACTTCTAATAATATAAAAACTATAGGTTTTCATGTACGTATTAGACAAAAAATAAATGAAAGGGAAGAGTTTCTGAAAAAGAAAACAAAGAAGGTGAAGCTGTTTTTAAAATGCCATTTAACCGCATCGAGGACAAGTGACATAACCACCGCTATCAACAATGCGCGATTCCTGAATGTCTCGAGTATCGATGATACATCCGACGTACGTCCACGGACTAACTTATTCGTACGATGGACACCCGACTGTGGAAGAGGAGGGGTACTACCATTCATACTCCTCTAGCGCACAAAAGAAGCAGACCTTTAAAAGTTTATAACATGAAATGTTTAAAGAAGGAAATTTTCTCGCGAGCTCCACGAACTCAGTGACACTGCAGATTCGCGGCTGCCGGCTCCTCATGGGAAAAAATAGACGCCCAGCCATTCCCTTTCTCGCGTTGCATTCCCGCGATCGAAGAGTAAGAAACGCCGAACTCACATCGGTCGAAGTTGGAGTGGTACTTGAAGGAAGTGGACGAGATGCCGCTTCCGGCCGTCCGATCCGCATTCCCCACGCGGACCGTCACCTTGCTCGCCAGGGTGCTTCGAGGAGAAATGAGAGATCCAGCGTTCATCGATCTCGAAATGAGAGATTCGGCGTTCATCGATCTCGAAATGTGACCGAATCTCCATGCAATCTCTGCTCGCTCTACTTACGCACTTTCGACCTTAGACCATAACGTCGGGCCGGTTCAGGGAACTTTGCCTCAATGATACGTGCAACCCCTCCACATCTCATCACTGATGTCATTTGTAGATATAAGCTGTTATAATTTATATAGTTTACCAAATACCGATCGTCGCACATAAAAGATGAGAGCTGACAATGTATTTCCTTTCTGTTTCCAGACAGAAAAATATGCAAATTTTCAGACCGAACGTCTCACAATCTCTTTTCCTTCCGCGAAGACTCTCTACCCTGCCTTTCGCATTTTCTTCGCGCATCAGGAGCGAACGAGCAACGAAGACGACATGCACTCACGTCCCCTTGTTCCCCGCTCGAGTGATGCAGTGAGCGGCGGTGAGGATCCACTGATCCCCGATGATGGAGGCGCTGCACGAGCTACTCGTCCCCGAGGAGAAGTCGACGCTGAGATGCGCCATGAACGGGGCCTCGGAGATGGAGGCCGGAGCCCCGTTGATGATGAGCGGGTCCCCTTGTCTCAGTCCTCCCGCCAGCACGCTCAGGAACCCATTCCACGCGCGGACGAACCAGTTCGGACTCGCCGCGCTCAGCTGCCTCGCCTCTACGTCTGTCGCTCCGTCTCGGGCCAGGTTGGACAGTCCGCATGGCGTGCTTGCCACTGTGCAAGTCCATGCATGGCAATTTCAGGTCAGCTAGGCTTAATTTACGTTGAAGATTTTCACTGATCTATCTGTTAAATAATCATATGCGGAAACGTGGCAACTATGCAGACTCAAGATAATATTGGTTGTCCATAGGAGATTCATATGACTTTGAACTTCAATAAATCCTTTTTCCGTTTGTCGAAGGTGAAACACGTTCAACATGATATCCCGATGTTGAACGTGTACACGAAGCCTTCGAAAGCAGCTCAATATGGTCTGTGCGCCGTGTCAGAAGAGAATTGTAGATGCCACCCAAGCTCTTCTCTTTCAGACACCTCCTGTGTCCTTAAATCGCTTCATTAATTGTTAACTTATGTTGAATCACGCACAGGAGGTCAACGTCAAACTAATCTTCAACTTACTTCTCGCTAAAAGGAGGGGAAATGAGACAAAAACGAAATGCAAATTCAAAAATGAATTGGAAACCTGAAATGGCATTGAAAATGTACGAAATTACCATTCCCAAGTAGAACATGCGCTTTTTAAGACTATGTCTTAATTCCTATAGGACGAACTCACGTGAGAGATGAGAAGGAGCAGGAGGACAAGTCTGCTGAAGGCTTTCATGAAGAAACAGGAGGAGGGCGAAAACGAGGAGGCCACCGTCGACGTGCTTCATCCTTCCCGCTGCAACACCAGGTTCTCAACTGAAGGAGGCTTTCTCGTTTCTTCTCGCGAGAGGAATCGTGACTGGCACTCATGTATTTACAAGGAAACGTTCGGGGAAAAGTAGTCGCTCGCGCGGAACAGGACGGAATTCGCGAGTGACATTCACGCTTGTTAAGGCTTCGACGGCGATGGCGAACAAGGAAAGATCCTGTTCGAGGTGGCACAGGTAAGTCGAGACTCTCAATCGCTTTTTGGACTGGATTTTGAGTTCCTTAATTTTGTTGTTCCGATTATAAAAATTTCCGGATGTTGTTGAACTCTTGGAATCGTTCGTATATTGGAGCCACGAGAATATGCATTGCAAATTTTCTGCGCCTAAAAATATTCATAAAATATCAACAAAGTACATTTGATTCACCTTATTCGAGATAATATTAGTCCAGGAAAAAAATAATTCCCACAAAATTACTGATGAATTAAAATCAGCATAACCTATTAAAAATTCGCAGAAGATCCATGGAAAGCCTACAAGATTACAGAAAAATATTTATTCCCAAAAAGCCTCGACTCGGCTCTGTGCCGATTATCATGACAACAGTCGATATTATTTCTAAATAATTTTTTCTACGGCCAGATTAACAACAACTGGAACGAAATTTCGCGGCGCGATTATCATTACGGATCACGAGAGGGCTTGGGGGACGATTTCTCACCGTCTCTCATATCATGCTGGTGACCAAGGATTCGCTCAAAAGTCAAATGTTCATGCATCACCTTAAAAACCTCCATCTCCGTAACTTGTTGCAATAACTTTAGCATTTCCCAACTCTCGTAATAAAATGGACCACTCTCAATTATTACTACGAAAGAAATGATGCGAAAGCCTCTCTCTCCAATACGCTTACAATTACCCAATATGCAGTGTGGCCTCAATTCTTGAGAAGCCTGTGCTCTTTCTTGTACAAATCCATGTACAAGAATGCCTCAAGAGCATTCTTCTTGCTGGAAAAAAAAATTGCGACGGGTCTGGAAGAGGCTTCGAGAGAGAAAATTATCCTCTAAGCTGCCTCTTGGCTTCATCCTCCAGTCTGTCATCGTCCTCCCACGAATGAAACTCGCGGAGCCGTGTTTCATCGTGCCTTCTCTGAGTTCACATTCCAATGGACTGACGGATTTTTGCACATGCGGGTGTGTCTCTGTGATCCTCGCTCTTGCAAGACGTGTTACGTTCTCATTTCCCGACCGGTGGATTTTCTCCTGTCGTTTTATGCATGTAAACTTACCGTCGGTAAAAAAAAAAGGAAAAATATTTACTGCTGTTAATGGTGACCATGGCTGAACAAGAAAATAAACCAGCAATCGCGACACGTTCTTCTTTCTTTTCATGACATCAGAAATACTTTCGAATCTCTTCTCGTGTTCTGAGGAATAAGTACTTGGCATTTCTTCGTCGGATATGGAAAGGAAGAAAGGAAATTCTCTGCTGTGACGTCTCGCATTGCATATTTATGACGAAAAAAGCGAAATGAAACAGCAGTCCCTGAAAGGAAAACCAGCAATGCAAACAAATTTAAACCTCGCGCATGCAATCGAGCTGATTCCTTCCAAAAATTTCTAGCGAAAGCTGTCATCTCGCGGAGGGGGTCATGAGATCGTAACTTCCTCATGGATCACAATCCGATTTGCGTACTTGAGAGACGGCCCCCGATTCCGTCCAACAAAGGAGCTACATGTCTGGCATCATCCCATGCCTGAGAAGAGGAAAATTCGCAAATTCGAAAAATACGTGGGACTGAATCGCCGAATCGGCGGTTAGGCGCCCTCTCGCGTCGAATTGTTGCACGTATTTTCGTTTGAGACGATGTTGTATGACGAATTTGGCCGTAACCAGATGGCTGTTGCCCACGCCATCTAACAGTTGCATTGCAAAACGAGAATGCGACTTGACCGATGTCTAATTACAGATGCGAAATGAAATTCGGAAGAGGGAATCATATCTCATTTAGTATTTGATCCGCAATCGGAAGGAATTCGTTCTCATGTAATAAAGGGCCGATGTATGGGCATAGACTGTATCTTAGGGACAGGCTTTCCTCAATCGGCAAACATTGGTTTTCGAAATCCTTTAATTCACCAGTGGAATACAGAAAACCGATTGCCAGGTTGACGGGCTGTAGCACGAAGACGTCATGGAAACACTAACGGTGCATAATTTCAGCCGTTTTGTGCTTTTTCCCTTAAACGGTGCATATTGACATGAAAGAGTGCATTCAAAACACGAATCCCCCCCATAAAAAAAATTCACATGCACACAGTCCAAAGGAAAAGTTCTCCCCTGAGGTTCCTGCAAGACTCAAGGCGCAGCGGTGATCTGCGACTGGACCCACGCCGCGAACGCCGAGGACCTCGTGTAGCCCGTGGGGCTCGAAGTGCATTTGAAGCCTCGATAGTACGAGAAGACCCCGGACGCGTAGGCCACTCCCCCGTAACGCACCGCCAGGGGCCCCCCGCTGTCTCCCTTTACGAACGAGAAGGGAAATGGGTCTCGACGGTTATCGCTAAAAAAAAAAAAATAATTCGCAAGGTTTTTCATTCGCCTTACCTTTTTACCAAGCAATTTGAAAAATATTTTAAAATCCGACTTTTCAGGGTTTAATAACTTTTTAACCATATGCGGATCGGCACAACTCTGAGCTTATTACAAAATTGACTCTTTCGGGATTTCCCTCCGAGACGAAGGCGAAAATGAGATCTTCAACTCCGCCACCTGCATAACGTAGTGACGTCGAACATCGAGCCAGTGGATTGACACCGAGAGGTTTCGACAGAAATATTTTCATCTGATGAAAGAGGGGCGAGCCAAAGAGAGAAAGACTCCTTCATTTTTTGTTGAGTCTTTGAACAACCCTCGCGTCACCCATAATGCCTCTCTACAAGATAAACCTTGAAATCGGTGCCATGATCCTTATTTAAAAGAAAATTGAACGCCAGGACAAACCTTCGTTACAGACTTTCGTCACAGGCCTTCGTTACAGGCCTTCGTTACAGACTTTCGTGACAGGCCTTCGCAGCATTGACTCATCGCGATTGATTGCGAAGCATTAACTGGAACAGCACACGGACAAAGGGTTTTCTTTACCATTTTAGAACTAGGGTCCGGATGAAGATGGGACGAAGATGGGACTTCTTTACTGAACCCAGTTTGCAGCAGCGGTAATTCGCTTTTCAAAAGGGCATTAACCGATGACAGAATCGAAGTCAGCAATTTTTTCGACGCAGAGAAGCAGGTTGCACTTTCGAGGCGATCCAATTATTCCCCGCCGATCCCGTGCCCGAAATAAATCTTCGAATTTTTTTACTTTCGAAGGAGTAACTCCTCGCCTTTGTCTTTAAATCGTGGTTCGTTGCGCGGGGAGGGCCTTGGGGGCATTTCCCGACCGCGTCCAAACACGATTGCTTTCCATTGAGAAGAAACATTTCATCCAGCAACCGACTTGCAGTGTTCAACGTTGAAGGCCACTATTTTTTATTAGAAATTCGACTAATTCCATGATATCTGAGGGCAGAAGAGTTTGCATCATCCCTCGTGCCGTTTCGGGAAGTTCAAACGGTTGCCATCCGCTTTTGAGGCAGCGTTACCGTGGAAAACGGTTCGAAAGCATTGGCCACTCCTTCGAAACACCGAGAAACCCTGAAAGAACCGGTTGACATACCCGACAGGGCCCGCTCCCCGGGGTCTTCCCCGTCACGCAGACGATCTTGCCGTCGACGCCGCTGCAGTCCGAGGCGGCCTTCGCGGACACGCTCACGTCCAGCTTCTGCAGGTTCCTCGGGGTGACCTTGTTCTTGTCGGACAGGATCCCCCAGCCGTAGACCTTCTGGTCGCAGGGGGCCGTCGCCGCCCCCACGTCGTCCGACGTCGGGTAGCAGAGCGGCTGGATGCTCGGCCCGAAGGTCAGGTCGGCGTTCAGGTGGACCAGGGCGATGTCGTTCCCCGAGTTCAGATTCTCTGCGGGGGAGGAATGTAGTATTTCTCGTCCCAATTCATTTATGAGTACTCTTAGGAATTCTTTCACCGATATTTACAAGAGTATTATGCGTGGAGAATATTTATAAGTATCCATACGTAGTTGGATAACGGAAAATTTGGGGATATGAAAAGGCCCCAGAGACGACCCGATTTCAATGCGAGAATTATTTGAGAAAAATAAGGGCAAAAAAAAATAAAATAAATGTGAGCGAAATGAACGGAGACAATGGTACTAAAAAAAATCGAAATCGACTCGAAAATTTCCATTCCCAATAATCCCAAGAAGTTTTCCTTTCGGTAGTTGAAATGTAGTATGCCAGTTGAACTGAAGATTTCCCAGAACCATTTTAACGAGAGCTCAGCACCGTTGACAAAGTACCTTAGTACCTTTTGAGTCCGATTAGTGCTCGCTCATGTTTTATGAAAGGGATGAAGCACCTGTTAGTACATCATTAAAGTCTGAGCTACTGCGACTTTTAACATTTTTAATTTGACGAAGTCCACTATTTTTCTTCAACCGGTAGTTTTGAGAACGGGAATACAAGAGATCATGCTTGTTATCATGCTCATAAATATGCTCATAGTCGATTATGAAACACGGCTATCATGGAATCTCCTTTCAGTCTCTTTCCGGCGATATAAAAAAAAACCGGGTCTCACTCGGGTTGAAGTCCGGGTGGACCCGGAAGGCGTCGGCGGCGATGGCCGTCCCGGTCCCCCGGTCCGCGCTCCCCACCCTCACGGTCACTCGGTCCACGAGGGCGCTCCTGAGGGAAAATGTCATCAGCGCTTCGAATGGCCGTATCGCAAAAATATTATTTTGCAAAAATTGCGAAGTTAAAGCATATCACTTGATTTTTTAAAAAGTAATTAAAAATCTGAATACATTTTTATTTTTTATTTGTAAGTGTGAATCAGTAATAGTGAAGAAAAATTATGAAAATGAATCAGGTGTTAACACGCTTAACGTCCCATTGGAAACGTTGGGGTTTCGGAAAAATCAAAATTAACTGTTGTTATTAGTTATTGGTTATTATGCGACCTTGCAACTCGAATCGATTTTTAACAAACATTTGTGAGAAAATTTTCATTCGAATCGCTCCATTTGAAGCTGTTGCTTTTTTGGCGTCCATCAAATGGTAAATTCACTCCCTTTTTTGTTCAGGTTCATCACTTGGCTGATAATGACTAACTTTTGTCCCTGATGGAGACAGTGAGCGGCAGTGAGAATCCACCGATGACTGATGATGGAACCGCTGCAGTTCTCCGTCATCGCCTTCCCCCACGTCGAGTACTCCATGAACAGATGCGCCATGAACGGCGCCTCCGTGATGGTGGCCGGCGACCCATTGATGATGAGCGGGTCCGGTTCCGGCAGCTGCCCTCCCACCACGCCGCTCAGGAACCCATTCCACAATCGATACAGCCAGTTCCGTCTCGCGGGGCTCGACTGCCTCGCTTCCATGTCCGTCGTTCCCTCTCGTGCCGCGCCGGTCACCCCACACTCCTCCGTCGTTACTGCTCGAAGACACATGCAAGAAAATCAGGTCAACTGAACTCGGTCCTTCTGCAAAAGATCATGTTGCTTGCCATCGTGCGATCAACCGCAGGACTGGAAGCTACTCGTGAATATGAACTGAATCAGGAATGGGTTTATTGCGGACTCTGCGGTGATGATGGTCATGATCCACCTTCCAAATCTAATTCACTTGCACTGTACTTGGAATTTTATTCAACTACCATTCATACTCCTCTAGCGCACAAAAGAAGCAGACCTTTAAAAGTTTATAACATGAAATGTTTAAAGAAGGATATTTTCGCTCGCGATTTTAAACTGGTACCCATACCCAAATGTTGTAGCGCAGAAAATTGTTCGTGGCTTTGCAGCTGTTAAAACTTAGTTGTTCAGCTCAGCAAGTGGAAACATTTAGATTTTTAAATGTAAGTTTGCCGCACGAATTTCAGTCGCCGATTTCGAATGCGCAAGGCTATCCAAAAGGGCCACTACCTGGAAACAAATCCTAAAGACAGAAGGGGCGGTTAATACATAAGGCGGAAAGCTCTAAATTTGAAGTTTATCGCTGACGATGCTTTCTAAACTAAACAAGCATCTGAGAGTTTATAGAAAATGGGGAAACGCACGCCGAAACGCCTGTCACGTCATCCCTTATTGTGGCAGAGATTCAACTGAAAAGCGCGCTTGAGTGATTGTTCATGTGGAATGAGCGGAAACTCTGTTTTCAACACGATGTCGGTCACCATCAATAGAATATATTCCAGATTGCGAAATGCAACTATGAGGAGAAAGGTTGAAATGTTGACACGGAATATCAAAAAGTATTCATTCATTCGCAACGTCGATTTCTAATCGGCAACTCACTCCTTGTCATGAACGACAAGGGGGGATAGGGCGAAAACGAAATGTAAATGCACGTGCAAAAATGAATTATAACCATCTAAAATCGCATTAAAAATGCATGAAATTACCCTTCTCAAGTAAAACATGAGTTTTTTTTTAAAGACAGGGTCTCACGTTTGATGAACTAACATGAGAGATGAGTAGGAGCAGCGGGACAAGTCTGCTGAAGGCTGTCATGAAGAAACAGGAGGAGGGCGAAAACGAGGAGGCCACCGTCGACGAGCTTCATCCTGTTCATTGCAGCACTACGGTCCCAGCTGAAGGTTGTTTTCTCGGTACGACTCGCGAGAGAAACCGTGACTTGCACTCCCGGGGAATACGGAAACGTTCGAGGAAAAGTCGTCGCGCGCGTGGAGGAAAAGGGAAGAGATTCTCGCGTGATTTTCACACATGCGACAGGTTCAAGGCCTATGGAGAACGAGGGAAGATCCTGTTCGTGGTGACGCAGGCAAGACGAGGCTGCATGAAGCATTTCGAATGGGATTTCAAGATTTTGATTTTTAATGAATAATTAAATTAAACAGAACAGAAGTCGCAGAAGATCCATAGAAGTGCTATATCACTACAGAAACCACTTTTATTCCCGAAAATCCCCGATCCAGCTCTCTCTCGATTATCGTGCCAATTGTCGATATAATTTCAATACTGTTCACTACGGTCAGATAAAAATCAACCGGTTCGGTTGGAGTCCCTCCCTCGCTCCCTCCCTCCCTCGCTCGCGTAGGAACGACTTAACGAGCATACACCATCGCATGCTCCTGTCGTCTCTCAGCCCATGTACGTTGATTCCTGAACTTTGTAGGGGCTCCAACAATATTTATCAACGGAATTCCGATTTGACCGGAATGTAAATGGACCAAAGACAATATGATACAAATATGATATAATGATACAAAGTATCAAAAAGGAGAGGGGGGAAAGGTCAGCATCCTTTTATTCGTATAGAAATGACAAAAAGGAAACAAAAAAAAGAAATAATACGAAAAAAGTATAAATTCTTTTCAACATTTCAACGAGACACAACGGAAAAATGAAAGGAGGAAGGAGACAATCCGAAATAACAAGAGACTGAAAATGAGACCATGAATTGCTTTCACGTAGGTGGACGAGAAATCCCTGGAACATTCCAGAACATATGAAAGCGGTGAAATTTCAGGAAACGGAATCAATGAACAACTGGAATAGCTAAGAAGTTTCAGAAATTGATGCACATTGAAGCAAGAAAAGATGAGAAAACGGTGATTCAGACTCATTACCTCACCGGTGCGACAGAGAAAAAGGGGAGGCCTTCCCTCCGGGACTTGCCTCCCAGCGATTTCATCTTTCGTTCCCTCCGCTGAAGAGTGTCCAGAAAAAGGAGGACTCGGGGCATTCGCGGCAGCGTTACGCGCGCGGCGCGCGCGCTGCTGATGATTCCGAGAAATGATTCAAGCGAATGAAGAAACTCCAGAATATTTGTGTTACCAAAAAAGATACCAACTGTTACTCGCCGAGGAGTACTACTTCGAATGATACCAGAAGACGGATAGAGCCACCACAAAGTACTGCAACTCGTTGTGCCTCACTTAAAAATGTACTGCAAGACCATGTCCATCGTTTTTTTTCCCCAGGGGTCGGCATTCCCTACTCCAACTACTCCAGGCGAAACTCTATTTTTCTTTCTATATATACAAGGTGTCTCAAAAGTTATGGAAACATTTTAGGAATAAATATCTCTATAAAATATACCTCAAATTAAACGGTTAAACCAGTAACATTAAGTGCAACCCAAATATTTTAAAACCTGTTATTGCAATACCACATGGGCAACATGTATGATTATGTAGATGTCCAAGTGATGTTCGAGTTCTTACAAAGCCTTGCGAAGAGTGTCAGGCATACCTGTCTGTATAGCTGGGACGATTCTGTTCTTTAGATCTTGATCGATGCATGATTTAGGGATATATATATTTTTAAATGTTTCCATACCTCTTGGAACACCCTGAAAAAATATATGCACATTAACTATTGTGTCGGTACTGAAACAGGGCATACTGCCCTGAATCTTTTATGTGCAGTTCCAGAAAAAATGCATTTAAGACACAAGCCACCTAAAACAACGTACAACGACCACAAACCCGTAAAATTCACGAAAAAACGGGCATCTTCGGAGCCGAGGCACAGCATCCTTCACGACCAGGAACTGATGGTGCTCTGGATCCAGGAGGCGTATGCGGAGTTTCTGGTGTAGCCGTCGCGTCCAGTGGCACAACCGTTGAAGACGTAGAAGGCGATCCCGGAGGCGTAGGCCACTCCGTTGTATCGCACCACCAGGGGACAGCCGCTGTCGCCCTGTCGATGGAAGACGTTGGGGTGAAACACGAGGAAATGGGGAATGGTTTCCTTCTCATTATATTGTGAACGTTTGAGAATTGCTCATGTGGGGTCTGGAGTCGAGGATCTTCCAGGCAGCTGTCGGCCAACAGCATCAGCTGGTCATAAGCAGAAATTACGATTCGGAACGTCAGCGAGAGATGTTTTAAACGAGGCGTTTCTCAAGTTAGCAAGTGAACCCATGCCACTCGTTTCATATAATTTTTCACCCTTCAGATTGCTCGTTTCGTGCGATGGCAAGATGCTGGCTGAACTCAAGAAATACGCGCAATGGACACAATCTTTCTGCGCATAATCGTTCATGATTTACAGAATGTAAATATTAGCTGTCATTGATACGTCGTTGGCCTTTATGAAAGGCCCGGACGACTCGACAAGCTCTAGAATGACGTTCAGCATGCCAGATGCGGCATCACTCGCGTACATCTAGTAACCCTGTCGACGTGGTCTCGAGCAGTCACTGTCACCTATAGTCCACTAACGTCACCTATTGTATCCGTCATCCGAGAGGGTTGGAAGAGAATGGATATTTACACGGCAGACTGGCATCCCTACCCTGGATATAAGCCTGCACATGCGCACCGAGTCCAGCTGTGCGGTTGCAATGGGTACTACAGACGGACGGTATGGGGAAAAAAATGACGACCGATCGCAATATCTGCCATTCTTCCGTTTTACCTATGGGAACGAGCAAAGAGGGAAAGAGAGAAGGCACCTGTCATGTCTTCACCTGTCCCGACGGGTTAAAGCTTAGGGCCGTCAAATGAGCAATTCCTCTCTTTACTCTCTCCTTGACCTATCTAGAGAAAGAGGTCGGAGCGACCCGTCCCGTGGGGAAGAGCAAAAGAAGCGACAGCGCCACCGATTAATTTATTAATCGCCATTATTTGATCCCATCCCCAATAGAGATGACTCGAGAGATCCCGGTGAGGGTGATATGACCTAATATTTAGTCTATATATTTATATTTATATTAATATTTATTTATAGTAATATTTTTTCCCTTTTTGGATAGTCCGATTCCATGAGATAGATCAAGCTTGCGAATCGGTCTGCATGAAATATTCTCCCTCCATTTCGGACAACTGACAGAAAGGATCCTAATTCGTCAGCAGGCTAAGCTTGCGTATTGCAGCTGTTGAACTAATTTGTCGATTCGTTCGTGGCCTTGTGAATCGACAATATAGTTTGAATAGATCAGAAAGCGTGCGGATTTAAGACGTGCGTTTCAGATGATTGAATCGACTGGTTGACTGTCTGGCGGCGAGGTTTTTCAAATTATAAATATGAATATCAACGATTGAAACCTCCGTCTGGACTTCTTTAGTCAACTCGTATGTTTAGAAAACTTCAGCAACAACGTGAAAGTAAGAGTCGGGCAGCATCTACAACGATAATGACGTTTCATGACCCCTGACAACACGGTTGACGGAAACGTATAAAGCAAGTCCCGCTAGAGGAGGCCAATCCAGTATCGCAGACGATCTTTCCATCGATGCCGCCGCAATCGAGAGCGGCTTGAGCGGACACGCTCACGTCCAGTTTCTGCAGGATTTGGGTCGTGTCCGTGCTGTGAAGCACTCCCCAGCCGTATATCTTCTGGTCGCACGGGGTCGTCTAATCAACGTTGACTTCCTGTCCTGTTGAAAGTCCTGTCCCTCTCAACTCAATCTAGCGAAAATCCAATATCCAAAAAATTTCATAGAATCTGATAACACTTTCCCAATTAAATTAGTACTTCCTTCGAAAATAAAAAACCTATCAAATTCCAATAGATCTTGAGGAGCAAAATTGGAGAACGACTTATACAAAGCTTCAATTATAATTACTGTCATGCATCAATCTAAAGCAATTATTTAGCTCGATGGAAGACATGTAATTGAGAAAATTAAAACACTGCAATCTTCAACAATACCTCCCTCAATATATACATAAATAAATCAAGTCGACAACGT